TTCCTCCTCCTCATCTCTCTTCTCTTTCTCATCCGCCGGCTCGTACTCTGAGCCTTCCTCAGCTAGGTCCGGAAGTCCAGCATGAGGATCTTCGTCCTCATTGACTGCTCCCGCCCAGGCAAGGTCTGGTTCAAACGGCACCCTTTCACGCAGCGAAAGGAAGAAGTCCTCATCCGTGTCAGTCCAGTCAGCCGGCACGGCCCCCGAGTCTGACGTGAAGTCCTCACTGTCGGTAGCGGATCCCGGCTTCTTATGGTCTTCATCCATCTCAAGACTTAGTCGAATCGTCTCATCACCCACAGTTACTTGGACATGCTGTTGCCCCAAATCAATGCACGTTTGGAGCTCCTCTAACGACAGCATCCCCACGATGACGTCGTACGGTGTTCCCGTAACGACAAGAAAGTCCATCATGCTCACCAGTCCCCCAAACGAGACGGGGACTTGGCGCAGTGATCCAACACAAGGGGAGCTCTTCCCATCTGCCACAGTGATGTGTTTCTTCGTACTCTCTGGCGTCAGAGAAAGTCTCTTCATGAGGTGCGGCGACATGATGTTCGGCACCGCACCCGAATCCAGTAGTGCTTGAGCATCAGTTCCATAAACTTGAACAGTAACTACCCGAAGACGCCTCGGGAAGACATCCATGTGGCCCGCAAACCCACGAGAACGCCCTAATCTCTTGGATAGAAGGCGCTTCATCTCCTTCCTTGCTCCTTTAGCGTCTCCACAGACAAGTTGTCCAAATGTTAGACCAGATGGCGCATTCGCCAGCTCTGACACGACGTTGTACTTGCCGACGTGCTCCTGGAGTGCCGCCTTCTTTGAAACATTCTTCTTCTTCTGGCATGCAGGCTTCACTCTCGGCACTCTCAGCGGCTCATTCCAGGGGATAGTTCCCCTAGGAGCTACTGAAGTGGGATTCAGCAGCCTCGGGATCGAAACTTCTTCACGGTTCTTCGACTGCTTCGGCAAGGCCTCTCCTTCGGCGTTGCGTTTCGTAGCTGCCACCAATTCTCCCTTGGTGGTCTCAGTTATGACCTTGACCTGCTTCGAGTCTCTGGTGGCCTTGTCACCGGCGTCGTTGGCAGAACCGCCTGCTTTGGGGCCATAAGCGCTTCCTGCTCCAGCGTTACCTTGAGGACGTGCATGAGCCACATTCTTTCTAGCAAAGCGGGACCAGCAAGTCTCCGTCGTGTGTCCAATCTTCTCACACGTTGGGCAACGAGTATCACGGTGTGGGTTGGAACGACAACGAGTCGCCGAATGCCCTAGTTCCTTGCAATAGGAACATGTCCAACTCGTATCACTGTCCCCTGGCGTCTGTCGTTTCTTCATCATCAGTGACAGTTCCGCCAGCTGGTTGGTGATGGCGTCAACCTTGTTCTCCAGCTTTTCCTGTCGAGGATCCACATCAGAACGCACCAGTACGCGCTTGGGCGTCACAGGTTCAACGGACTGCGCAGCAGTTTTCGCCGCCTTGAAGGCGTCACGGCCTGCAGCAAAGTCCTTCACGGTCTTCATCAGTTCTTCGTACGTCGTCAGAGAACGATAGATCGCGAACTGAGCAACATTCAAATGTGCCATTACGGCATTGCAAAGCAAGCCGTACTTTGCCTCGTCGTTGAAACCAGCCCTTCTGTAGAGCTTGTCCATTTCATCCATCGAAGTAAGCAAGTTCCCACCATCCAGTCGGCTACTCATAGCCTTCTGGATGTTTTCTTCTGGCCTCGGTGCCTCCGTAAAACGGTCGGACAGGGCGCTCTTCACACCGTCCCAGTTACTGGCGGCCTCGGTCAGACTCCCATTATGACTATACGTTTCATAGTAATAGTCGAACGCGGCACCCTCAAGATGTCATAGGATAGCTCCTGCCTTCTCCTCGTCAGGCTTGCCGCGCATAATGATGTTCTCGTATACGAACAGAAACTTGGAAACATCTGACCCGTTCGACCCATCGTAGGTAACAGGGTTAGGGCCTGCACTTGTCTTGGCGTCGGCCCTCCACAAGAGTACCATGTTGGTGGTGGAATGGGGGAGGCGGTTCTGGAGAGCGTGCCGTTCGTGGTGAGGGATGGCCGAGTGTCGTCCCCCCTTCCCCGCAGCGCCCGTCACCCTCTCTCTTTTATTTCTACGAAATTCCTTCCAGAAGCGTCCACGCATCCGGCCCGGATTCCGCCGGGCCGTCCGCGTGCGCTTCTCTAAAATTCAAATAAAATCTCGGACTACAGAATAAAATCTCCCTCTACAGTAAAATGCAAATATTTCCCTAAAAATATCTCACATAGATCGTGCGATAGACCCACGGTATTTTTAGGTAGGCATAGACCCAGTTTTTTGTTGAACGAGTGGAGAAGAAATTGTCTAATGGGTCTAAAATTCATGGGCCATAGATCATTAGACCCAAAAAACACCAACCGGTGGAGATGCTCTAATGAGATGTCATAGTACTGAAGGACTTCTGGCCCCCAGTGTTGCTGTCTTCGCCACGAAACGCGAGTAGAATGGCTGCCTTTTGAGTGGATCTGTCAGCGCAAAGCGTACAGTCGTAGAGCGTATTGGGGACTCGGAGGTCATGCACTGTGGGCTTCCTGACAAGCAGAAAGATGCCTGCGTATTATGAGGATGTGCGATATTTACAGGGCGATGTTGCGCCTCCATTGTATAGAATATACGCCGATTTCGTGCCAATAACGAGCTCATCCTCATGCTTTTTCGTGCATGCATGATCCCCCCCGCCCCCTTGAGGTCTCGAAAAACGATCGTGCGATGGCAAAACCGTGCAGAACGATTCTGTCTCTCATGCGAGATGCACGAAGGTGGATGTGGCTTGTTGAAAATGACAATCAGGCATGATCAAGGTCAAGGTAATGGGTGTCTCAAAGAAAACGGAAAAAATCTTGGGCGAAATCAGTTGCCCTCAATTTTAATCTCCCTCAAAGCTTTTCAGATGGCAAGCACCTACAGTACAGTAGTCTCTCTTTAAAAGAATGACCCGCAAAAGAATATTCCTTTTAGTAGAATACATACACTGTTTCCCGTCCTGGGAATGGCCAAAAGAACCCTATTTTCATGACAGATTCTTTCCATGCAGCCCTCCAAAAGCTATCTCGCCACCAATGAATTCAATGTAGTTGGTACAGTAATGTGACGATGAAGACCTTCAAGCACTCTAGGTGTTGCACAAGAACGAAGAATAAGGTTGTAAAGAACATACATACTACATGACGTAGAGGAAATGAGGTGTGCAGTCCACTTCACCGACAAGACTCCCGGGGGGGGGGGGGGGGGGGGGGATTGTGGGGAGCGAAAATCCGATGCCATTTTGGTTGCAAAAATTGATGTGACAAAAAAAACCCACAGCGTCTCGATTTCCATATCGATATCCATTTCGATGCGTTAATTGAGAAATTCGTAATGGAAATTCCACGAGAAACTTGAGAATCTCGCGTCCGTAAACCCGCCATTCATCTTTAAGCAACTAGATATCGATTGCTTCGCATGTTTTTCCTCTGGGGCATTCCTCATCAATGCCAGGGTCGTACTCAGACAAGAGGAACTGCGCAAGGTAAAAGTGCTGCACTCATAAGTGTCAGCTCTTCCCTGGCAAGACGCGCAAGTGGATTGTTATGCTTATCACGCTCATACTGTCTTCGCAAATACAGTATAGGTTGCAGATGGTTTTGAAAGCATTCATGCAGAAAAGACCTGCATTTCGAGACAGTGTAGCGGTAATTCAGAAGATGGGCTATGGGCGAAGATTGGTGGACGACAAGATCTGTTTCAAGTATGATGAATTTATTGCGTTGCCCGAAAGAGAGTAGCAGATGTTGATGCTGCAGAGAAAGTGAGAGAGAGAGAGTGGTGAGTGAGAGAGAGCGGATGTGCGGATGTGCGGATGTGCGGGTGTGTGGGTGTGCCGGGGTGCGGCGGTGTGTGTGTCTGCAGTGTATGATGCTTTTAGGCTACCGTATACGTGTACGTAACTATCTAACACGTATGAGGCGAAGCCATGAACTAGAAGTGCGCCGTTGAAAAGGTGGCAGTTCCCTGCGGTTACCACTCGTACACAAATTTTGAACCCGTGGACGATATGTCAATGGCTTGTTCCGCCATCGACTATCTCCGTCACGTGGAGAAGATAAATCTACGGTAAGCATTATGCAGAGTGGAAATACGTTTAGTCCTGCTGCTGTTTCCAATGCAAGATCTTGCTGGTGGAGAAATCCTGTGGCGGGAAGCTTTTTGAAGGAGTGGACTGCGCAATCTCTTCAGAAGAACAAGCACAGTCATTCCAATGCCTGTGCCCATACAGGTTGCAGTATTTGTGTCCACCAATGATCTGCTGGCAGACGAAGCCTTCCTGAGGATTCTACGGGAAAGTTCGAGGACTCATCACATCTTTCCGTCAGAGATTGGCTGGCTTCTCAAGAAGTCCACATGAAGATGACCATGCATCCACATAGCCACTACCACAATGTCGTTTGAGGGGAATCGTGTAGGGCATGAGAGTTGGGAGTCTGTTTAAGCTACTGTACAGGAAAACGAGAGATGACGACGAATAGAACGCAAGTCTACAGTCCGTGGTGAGATAAGATACGGGGCATGGAGACCTCTTGGTATGAACCTGTTAGATGTATTTCCTGTGCTGTACAATATGCCGTAAATCGAACGGGGCCGCTTAATTTACAAACATTTCGTACGCATGACAGACGCGCATGCAAAGCAAACGCCTACAAACTCACCATCACATCCTACTTTTTCGGTGCGGCGCCCCCGTCTGCGTGGCTAAGGCAGGTCAATAATTTCTGTTTCTCTAGAACGCAAGACCTGTAGCCGAGAATCAAGTGATCAACTAATATGTAGCTGTGTCGAATGGTCTATTTCATGCCAGCGTGCTGTCTGCGCTCCCGCTTGTCGCAACCCCATCTTCAACCGGCAAACTAACTTCAGCTGGTTGCTAGGACATCATCTTGTCGCGCGTTCTCAACCTCCCCAAAATGTCTGTCTTGTCTTGTCAACCACCAAGTGTTATCGACTTGCTCAATCTTGGTTCTTTGGTTTCAAACCGAACGATGCAAGCATCAAAGACGAAAGATCTCTTGAAGAAAATGTTTGATTTGTGCCAAACGGACTGGGTCTCAAACTTTCTCTTCACATCCGACCCCATTCACCCCAATCTTTTGGCATCGGAGGTCCTTTTCAATACTTCGCTTGTTGCAGAACTTGCCACTACACGCGTTGAGTCGCCTCGCCTGCAACCAAACCCGTCCCCAATGGGAGAGAGTCACTACGTGTTTAATCGTCTTCTCATTGTACCCACTTTCACCGCCGGACACCTCACCGTAGGAATCGGAGTCATGGAGTACTCGCGAACCAGTGGACTGCTCACTCACCCAGAGTATGGTCGAAGAGGGCGCCACAAATTTTGCAATTATCGCTTTGTCCGAGACGCACGGACAAGGAAGTTTCTAGTGGTCATGGATATACCAGGGGGGGACGCCTTTTCCGTATATTATTCAGTCCATGGAAGCCCAACACTCTGTCACAGTGCCACGGCGCTTTTCCGCAAAAGCTCTTTTCTCCAATGCCTTAATGAAGCGAAGAAAGACGTCGTTTCAACTGCGACATTGACCCTTCTCTCAATCACAGAGGAGCACTACTTTAGGCGTTGCCAGATATGTCACCAGACTCACGCCATGAATTGTGGCTGTGTGCAGCCGAATTTGCCACCAGCACACCCTTTTGACTTTTCTCGGTTCCAAACCGAACTCGCCGGAGATTGTGGGCTTTTCGAAGGGTTCTCAAGAAGATCGCTCGTATCACACAGCGGACAGACAACGGTATCCTTTGGCTCAAGTGTTTGTCTGCAACTCATTGTAAATGACAAATTGAGGAAGCGTCTACGGGGATGGTCGTTGCAGAGTCAACTGTCTGTCGGTAGTGAAGATCCTCGGGCATCACATCAACTAAACACCACATTTGGTGACAGAAAACAAGAGACTGAGCTCCTGTCAGGTAATGTTGGAAATGCTTTTTCAATACCAATGCCTGACCTTCTGGAGGGCTGTTGTGAAGAGTCATCTGATGTTAATGCAGATATCAAGCAAAACGATCAAACTGACGCTCTCGATATTCCGTTACCGGAAAATGCATCTGCAGAAAAAGTGCGATCATCTCTGAAATCATTTCCAACTGAGGCACTAACCGAAAATAAGCATGACTTCTTCCGTGAAGGGCCCGCCATGGCACGGCCTACTGAGTCCGAAGGGTGGTGGAATCAATTCGAGCGTCAAGACATTTCCCTGCTGCCTGAGATTTACGGCTCTGCCGCTGAGCCAGTTTCAGAAGGTGTCACCAGTCCAACAGTCAACACTCTCTTCAATCAGAACGGCACTGCCGAACAATTGCCAAGCTTGACGAAACCAGATCAGGAAGCTAACCGGCAAGCAGATGCTGTAGCCCTGGAAAGGCAAAGAAAGCTTGAAGCGCGGAAGGAGCGAAATCGGGCTTCGGCACGGCGTAGCAATATTAGAAACAAGGAATTGAAGGCTGCCATTCGGGAGGAAATGAAAGTGCTAGTTGGAAGGGTCGAGACGCTTCGAAGCCGCGAGCTGCGGTTGAGACAACAAAATTTGTCTTTGCGTAGATTGCTCGCCGTGAAGAACGTGTCAGACCGTAGAGGCAGCATTTCGTAATAACTTCTGGGAAGAATCACTCCCGTGTTAGTTTCCTTTTATTCCTCTCACAGTGCGTTTTTTAGATATAACATACAGTACCAACATCGAGCGGCGTAGGATGACTAACAACATCCGTGTAGCTACATGAGGCTGTTAAAGGTGTTTTTGTACAAGGCGCTTATCAAATTGCGGCAAAGCCACCCCACAGTAACTTTTCTTTTATCAAAACCCTCCAAAATGTAACTCAACTTATCCCTTTCCTCATTGTTCCACTCCTCGAATACCAATTCTATTTCCCCTGGCGGCTCTACCTGCAGAGTTAGTTTTTTTCTTCTTCCGACATATTGATCACTTTCTTGGTCAGACTGATGGCGAGAATTCAACAGTATCGTTCGGGGCAGATGGCGGAATCAGATGGTGAAATTGATGTGGAAAGAACGATCGTGGCGGAAGGTTTCCACGAAGACTCGTTCGGCAGCAACAAGCATGAACTGCTGGGCCGGGGGGGAGGTAACGTGAGTGGACGGCCTTGACAGCGCTTTTAAGCCATGGTGAATGTGAGCGATGCACACATTCATCATGGCTTAAAAGTTCTAGTAAATAAGGTACAGTAGGTAAAAACCTTCCCAGCAATGTGATGATGCTCCGAGGACCAGCTAGCATCCAACACTTCACAGAATGGTGGAGGGGCTCCCGCATAATGGCAGATATCTGCATGCTCTCAATGTTTTCTATGAGAGAACTCATGGAGGGAGCGAGCAAGGCATTCATCTTAAGACACATTGCACACACCCATTGCAAGATCACATGCGAATGGCTGCACATCAATAGTCCTGAGACGAAGTGGTAATTTAGGATGCCTTTCTTCACAAGGCTACCTTTTGGTTTATCAACTTGCTCTATACTACTCTTCTTATATACTGCTGAGCATATCCTCTATCGCCAGTCAACTACGGAACATATGCAGCAGTGTGACAACGGTAACTGGCATGGAAGTAATGCCAATCTGTTAAAGGATGATTTCTACTAGGCAGCAATGCTCAACAGTAAGACAATGATACATGTCCGACTTGTCACATTACCCCGGGATAGCCGAGATGTCTTTGACAAGCTTCAGTCAATTCTTACAGGAGCATTACCACGTTCAACAAATAGTGACATTCACACACACATCAGTTTCAAAAGGGCTTCAGTTGCATTTCGCCCTTTGATAGTGTTCTTCTGAAGGGGTCTTGACGCATCGAGTAAAGGTACATTCCCACCAGTTAGTTTTAACACATCGACTAGACGCACCGTGAAACCGCTAGCTTTGTAGTGGCAGTTATCATCATTCCAGAACGACATACCCAGATCCTCCAAGACAACCCCTTTCGCCATAATCGAGAACCTACTATGCTACAGCGTCACGTTGTTAGTTTTTGATCTGAGCTCTTCGCAACGAGGAAGCTATTCTCAAATTCTGCGCTATCATCTACCCTGTCCGCGTCTAACCTCAGGAACATACTGGTGCATGTCAACATCCGGTACCAGGAGCGCCACCTCGCCCGTCATTCTGTGACAGTCTCTTACGCTCCACGCGCCCCCGTTTTCGTCTGTGCGATATGGCGTAGTTTAGAACGACGCCCGTCGTCCCGCATGTAGAATCTCAAGAATTCGCCTTCTTGGAGACGAAAGTATTGAGTGGCGTCGATATTTTCATGTACAGGTGCCTGCAGCACGGAGTGTTTAAGCCCATAGACGACGATGGAGTTAGCCCCGGGTGGCGTATAGCCCACTGTTCGGCGGGCGACAAGGCAGGTGAGAGCAATTTTGTTGAACATGATGAATCTAAAGTAGTCAATTTTGCAAATTGCCAGCATTGTGAGGAAGGAAATACTGTAATGATTGTAGTGCAAGATGCATTATATAGTCTTCTGTAGAGGCTGTTGACGCTGATCCGGCAAGCAAAATGGATACGGTACTCTATAGCAACAAAGTTTAGCTCGCAGCTGTCTGAAGCTTCCCTTTGGAGCGGCATTTAAGACATGGAAATGAAACTCTTTCGAAAGGCGCGAACAGTAAACACAAACTCAAACAGAAACAAGGCAAGCGGTCAGACCCTCGCGGCATGTTTCTTTTGCTACAACATCATCATAAACGATGTAGGCCACACGGCAGGCAATTGGACATACATTTAAGGGTGCCAGTCCAACTCAACGGGGCAAAGGGGTTGCTGCCTTAATGTCGGACTGGAAGCGTTTGTTATGTGCAAGCACGAGGAGTGCCACGATAAGTGCGTCGAGCGTAAGCAAAAGTTATTAAGAAACGTCAATGCCCGAATAGCATGAGTTGCAAATGCATTACGTCTCCGGGACGAACGATGCATTTGAAAGGTGTGATGAACCACGATGTGGGCGGTATCCACGGCAACGAAAAGCATATTAAAAGGATGTGGATAGAGATCGAGGTCATGACGTTTAGATGACAACCATGGGCAGTTTCTGCAGCATATTTGCTCCATGGCTCTTAAAACTATGCATGAAAGAGGATCATTAAGGTAAGGTGTACCCTTGGTAGATTGAGGACTCTCGCTCCAGTACCATATCTAGACGACCAGTGGTCCCATATAAGGTTACCTTTTCAACCACTGAATTCGGTCATGCAGTATTACAGAAAATGGAATTTACAGCAAACGACTGCAAGAAAGCGGCACCGGTCCGAGGGTCAGCAAAGCAACCTGTGCTGAAGGAACGATACCTCGTTTATTCCGCAATCTATCTCTCGCTTCCTTAAGTCTATCGGCCCTGCGCCGTCATCTGTGGGTGCGCGCACTGTCGTGCGTGGTGTGCTTCGTGTGCACATGTGCACGTGTGCACGTGTATGGGTATTATCACACTTGTTCTGTGAGCGCTGCGACGACTGCGTTCTTATGGGTATTATCACCCCCCGTCGTCGTAGCGCGATCCAATTGATGATGGCGGGGGCGGGGGTTGCACACCTGCAATTTTTTGTCAGGTGTGTGAATGGCGTTGGCGATAGCGGTTTCGTGAGTATGCCCGCGAGCATTTCCTGCGTCTGTATGTGACGGATGCTGATGGTGATTGCGCAGGTCTGATGAGAGAGATAGTGATGTCCGAGGTCTATGAATTTGCGGCGTTCTGTTGGACCGCTATTCTTTGCCACTCGTATGGCTGACTGGTTGTCGATGTGAAAGGGGGTGGCTTTCCGTGGCAGCATTCTAATATCGTTGGGCTTTCTTCTGATCCATGTTGTTACCTGCGCTGCTGATGAGGAGCCGAACGGTGGTTTTATCCGCCATGTACGTCGTGGTTTTGTCAGGGTTATAGTGAACATGGGGGATCATCTTGTCTCCTCTAGCAGAGCATCTTGATTTTCTTTCAATGATTTGCCCTTTTTCATTTCTTCTGTACCAGTATCCCATTGTGAGAGGTATAGTTTTTGCAGTTTTGGGAATCCGGTGGGAGGGGAGCCATGTGGCCACTTTTTGTTTGTCCAAGTTGTCGAGCTCTTTGTTGTGAGCTTATTCCCGAAGCTTGGCATCCTGATAATGTTTTGCTTGGCCATGGTGCCTGTGTGTGTGATTTTGGTGGAGATTGGCTTTGGGGTGAAGGCTTTGAATACAACGTGGACATTGGGATTTGGGAGCGCTTTGTGATAGACATTGAAGTCTACCGTGTGCACGCGTCGTTTTGTGCCATCGGTGGTGCTAATTGTAGTATAAATACCTTCGTCCCGACCACTCGGAACGAGGGGGGTTAGAGGTAAGGGAGCGAGCGACGCTGGGCTACCTACGCGTGGATAAAATCCGTGCGGATGGACTCGAAAAGAGAGAAGGCTCATGTGGCCGGTGACGCGCAGCCGGTCCGTGGTGTTATAGCCGGACGGCCCGTCACGGGTTAGAAGCCCGAGCTAAAGGAAAACCGGAACGGTGTTAGCACTTAGCCGTAAAGGGAAGGGAGGCGAGTCTACCTCCTCTTTACTGGGACGGGCAGGTGTCCCCGGTCTTAACCCCTAAATGGGACGCCAGTACACCTTTCCCTCTACAGTAGCTGCCACTTACTGTGTACCAGCTACTGTACACAATTACATAATTTGTGCCATTAACTACTACTTACTAGTTAGCCACCGTACAGATTGTACACGTGTGCCCGTGGCCACGATCCCGGCTGACGGTTGTGCCACGTCTCACCCGTGGCCACGCCCGCTGCTACCGGCTGTCCCACGTCGGACCCTTGGGGTACTACTGTAAACGGCGGCGGACGCGTGTACGCCCGCTCGCTACAGTAGCACCCGCCTTCCCGCGCGGTTATCATCTCCCCGGGGGGTTGTGGTACGGAATTGTACTATATTAATGACGACTATGGGCCGTGCGTCAGTGGCATAGAGGTATCTTGCTGGGATAGATCTGTGCTGCAGTTTGTGCACTTTTGTTGTTCCTGTGCCTTTGGGTACATGCCCTAGTTGGCGGAATATGAGGAACTGGGGGACTTGTGGCGTGCATCCGTGCCATATTATGCTTGGTATCTCGCCTGTTCCCAGGTGGAGTGTGTGGTTGTATTTGAACGCAGCATCCTTGACTGCATCCTCCCAGTGTTCTTTGGAGAGCCCAGTGTGATATAGCGCTGATCGTGCGGCATTGAGAATCGTGCGGCTTACTCTTTCAGCTATACCATTTTCCTGTGGTGAATAAGGTACTGTAGTGGTGTGACTAACATTGTGGTTGTGGAATATGTCTTGGGATGTGCGTGATAGGTACTCCTTGGCGTTGTCGGTGTGCACTATCCTTGGTCTGTGCATTCTGCTTTTCGCGATGTGTTTGACTACATTGTCCATGTGGTCTAGTGTTTCGTCTCGCTTCTTCAAGAACGTCATGATTAGATACCTGGAGTTGGTGTTAATTATTGTCATGAGTTTATCTATGGGCTTGCCATGAGGGTGTGGGGAACGGGTGCAGATATCAGTGCTGAGGGCTTCACCTGTGCCGTAGTTGTGGTGCTTGCGCTGGTGTCGTGCAGGTTGCAGTTTTGCTGCTGCACAGCTCGTGCACGTGATTCGTGGGGTGGCCTGGCGAGTGACGCTGGGAGGTTCGGTAATAATTTTCTTTTGGCCATTTGCTGGATTGTTGAGGGGCGGACATGATTGAATACCATAGGCCAATGATGGTGGTCATGTTGTGT